GGAGCGTCGTGCGCAGTGAAATCAGGACATTTCCTCACTTTCTTAAAAAAAACCGGGACGCCCGGGACAGGACGTGAAATACGGATATGTCCCGGGAAATACGGACGTTTGGTCACCCTACATTCAGACAAACTAATGTTGTTTGATAAAAAAGTTTTTTTTTTAACCTTTGAACTTGTTTCTAGTTATTTGTAGGTTTTCTTCCAGGATTGTATGTGTTAATCTCCATCCAGTTCTGTCTAGGTTCACCAATTCCTCATATTAATGCTGGTCCTATGTAATTATGTCGGTGATGCTTAAATTTTGATTAAATTTTCTTCTGCTTCACAGGTATACACTGCTTTTTTGCGTCTGTCACATGAAATCCAAATGAAATGCTTTGACATTTGTTTCAGTACCCTGACAATATGTCAGGAGTAAAAGGTAAAGAGTAGCACCATTCAAACACATTTACTCAGGAATTTTTACTATTTTTCCAGTGAATTCATTGACCAATGTCCAGTTTCTTGGTCAGGGCTTCAACTTACCTCATACACTCCAGAAAAGATGGACATGAATCGACTCAGCACTGCGGCACAGATACTGGCAATGTGGACAAATGGACCCTGGAGGTGAAGGAAGGACATTAGTGCACTGCAATGTTTTTCACACAGACCAATTTCTGTAAAACAAAGGGTCCAAACTGAGACGTGTATCAGAATAAATCAGTGAGTAATTGCTTGATGTGACAGCTGCCCTGCTACTGTAATGGAGAAAATTAATGTACTCCTCTGAGGAGGAGTTGAATAATTTGCCTCAGTCCCACGAGAGAAGGAAGTGAGGGGAAACATGACAGAAGTTGATTTATTACTCACAAGGTGGAATAAAAGAGCACATGGAGTGATAGATAAAGATATGAATAGAGGATGGTGCCAATCTATTATGGCTGTATGGTGACAGACCGATCCTAAAGGTAAATAGGTTCAAAAGAGGGTCTGTTAACCTCTTTGCCCACTGGCATCCCGCTACCAAGAGCAGCAGTCAGACCGATGACTTTAGCTATGAAGGCTTTGAGGGTCAGGTACTCCTTCAGGACCACACCTCTCAGGATGGTTTTCAGCTCTGGGATACCAGAACCTGTTAGCAAAACAGAGAAAACAACAAAAAGATGACAGCTTATACAGCAAACCATAGCTGTGTTAATGTAAGTAAAAGTGAAGGTATGTTTCACGAACTTAAAACAACGACACAAATGGAAATAAAACAGAAATACAACAGAAGATAAGGTACAGAGAGGTGTATAAACTAACCGATGGCCTGAGGGGAAACCAGGTGGCAGAAGAGCGAGGAAAACACGATGAGGATTATGGGATATGTAACCCAGGCGAGGTACTGGAGTGCCACATTGCTCTTAAGCTCCCCATATATCCATTTGTAGGCTTAAATACATTGAAACAGCAAAAACATAAGAGTCTGCAAATACATGTGGCCAGAAACAAGGTAAAAAGCTGCTGCAGTAAAATGAAATCATTATGAAAATATTGATTTTTAAGTCACAATGTGAGCGAATGTTAACACTGATACCTTGTAGACTCTTGGCACTGGCATAGTCCATGCTCCAGCTGACCAGAGCCATAGTCAGACCCAGAAGAATCAAAAAAATCCAGTCCTCCCCCATCTTGGTCACAATGTACCGCCTCACTCGAGCCAAACAGTCTGGGACAGATGAATGAAATTATTGAGTAGCATTCAAATATACATATCAACTGATAAAAATACAGTTTTTGTAAAGGGGCTCTGGTTAATATGACTATGGATTGAAGAAAAAAAATACTAAGCCAAGAATTATTTCTGCTTTTGGAAGTTTAGCAGGTTTAAAAGAGGGCCTAAAATCCAAAGTAAATAGATCTACTATAAATGTACGTGATTATAAGTTGTCCACCTTAATTTTTATATTAAAAGGATAATTTGGCCATGTCTTTAAACCTAAAACTGGACTTCACCTTCATGTTACCTGTTTAGCTTTACAATAAAACAAAACAATAAGACACTCCAAATAAAAATTTGGCTAAGTTAAGAGGACCATGAGGTTCAGATTTCAAGACTAGAAAATTAATTATGCACAAAAGTTTTATCTTAATGGTGAGGTGCAGTTTTAGAGTTTTATTTTTCCACTACATTTAAAAACTAATCTTCAAAGAATCCAAATAAGGTGTGCTAAAAAATGTGGGAGAAAAAAAAAAAAAAAACTGAACATGCAATCAGTGTGCGTATTGTGGGTAATCTTCTAGGGCTGGGTCTGAATACCTCAGATTGTAGCTCCTACCTCCTGTCAACAGTAAGAACACTATCCAGGGTAGAAAGTACATCCTTCAGCCTTATGGATGTCATTAAGAGGTGGATAAAAACATTTTTTTGATGCTGGTCTAACAACAATCATATATTTTGTTAAATTCCATGAGATGGGTTGTAATTATACATCTTGGCGCAAAGGATTGTGGGCCAACCTATAGCTCCTAGAAGTGTTTAGGGATATCAGGAGGTCCCTATGCTAACTGTAAAATGCTAAAAACTCCTAATTATATCTCCTAGCCAACAACACTATTAAAAAGGCAATTTATTATGGTAAGCATGGATGCACTTCTGCTAAAGTGTCCTAACTGATTTGAGGTATTCAGATTGAGCCAAAGATTCTAGGGAGTTGACATTCAAATAGGTTTGGTCTGCATCGGTTCAATTCATCAAAATGTGCGTGTCAGTGGCATTTAGAGAGAGGCCGTAAAGGAAGATTAAGTTCAAAGCCATGGAGTCTGAGGTAATAATCATAACAAATAATCTAAAAATAATAATAATGATAATTACTAATATTTTATTGCACTTTACTCAAGTATCTCAAAGTGACACAAAAAGCATTTAAAAAGAAATAACATAAAAAGGACGAAAATAAGAAAAGTGAAATCTTAAAGATTAAATAGCAATAATAAAACCTAAACCTTTGTCAGCTCCTCCTAAAACCCCACTAATCTCCACTAATTTTATTCCACTGTTGTTATTTCTGAAATTAAAGATATGTTCACATACACACAGCATATCTTTAAATAATTTGTCATTGCCTCAATACCTCCTTTGTGGTTATAATCATCACAGAATTTTTTTAATATGAGTTTTTAAATTTTTGATCTTTTTTGTATGTCGTCCATCCATAAATTTGTGATGTTTGCTCATAAGAATATTATCTATATATTCATTAAGGGAGACATGCAAAAGTGTTTGTATCCACTCCCACATCGACTTTGCAAATCACTGTGCACCATGTATGAAGATCAGCTTTGCATATGCTAACAAGTTTATACCTGTTTTGATACATGTAGATCGTTTGAAGATAAGATGAGGATATGAGCAGCTTCTTCCAGATGTGTGCCATGTGCTTTATATGGCTTGTGCAAATAACAAACCGGACATCTAATGTCCTTCTATCAGAAAATTTGCAGTTTGCTTTTGTCCCATATTGTTTATGAATTATTGGATAACAGAGCAAACAGTTTCCGTGAAATTTTCCTCACTTCTGACCTGACAGCTTTGTTCTTTGGTTCTCATGATGCAGGTGTTTTTCAATGATATCTGACAAACCACTAAAGCCTTCATAGAACAGCTTGGATTAGACTGAGATTATATTACATTCTATGGGACAATGTTTATGTGATTTCTGAATTGCACTGAATTTTATTAAGGGGAATCTGGGTATCTATCACATAATCCTGATGCAACTTGGTTGTTTATGGTTGACATGTGACAAAACATGATTTAATTAATTTAAATATCTTTTTAAGCATAACACTTAAGTTTTTACCACATAAATCCCCAAAAGACCCATAAAATCAATTAAAATATAAATGAAAGGTTAAATTATTTTCATAACTCATCTTAGTAAAAAATATAGATTAACCAAACACAGACTGTTAGTTATGGTGGTTTCCTGCTCAGAGCTAAAGAAAACATATTAAGGAACTAATTATAAGACAAACAATAAAACATTATTAATGTAGAAATTATGATTGTATGAAATGCAAGGTTAATACCTGCTCGAAGGTTCTTTTATCTAAAATAAATACTTTTAATCTGCCAAACAAGCCTCTTGGGAACCCCTTAATTCTTGGAATGTGACTGTATATTTTGTTTTTCATCTGTCTGGCAGCATCAGCACATCGCAGTCATCCTGATCTTAGTGGCTTAAAATTCTACCTTAAGTCCTAGTGGTATTAAAGCACTGTATCACATTTTATGAGCTCATCATGTGGCGCTCAAAATCATGATGTGCAAAGCATTCAGAAACTGATGCTTTACTGTAAAGTCTCCATCACAACAGACCTGTTTGATCAAAGAATTACATTATGACTCAGATCAAATGCAAAAAGCAACGGCATGCTCCTAAATGAGGCTGCAGATTTTGAAATGGCATTGTTGGTGTTGCTCACCTTGGCATTTGGAGTAGGGTTGAGGCTTCGTGGTGGAAGAACCTGGGCTTTGATGGGACTCCAGAATGGCAGGGTTTAGATGGGGATGATGCCGCCGGCCGTGACCTCGGCGGCCCCTGGCTGAGGAGTTTTCTCCTGCTTGTCTTCTGCATTGTCTCTCTGTTAGAAGGCGGGCGGCCTCTCGTCGGGCAAAGTTTCCCAGCTGCTCTCTGTACTCACCGTATAGCTGTAACACAGGGGCAACATTAAGGATCACTAAGAAACAAAAAATTAAATCCTGTGTTTGCAGAAAATATGACGATGGAAATAGGAAAAATAAGCAGGAGTTGGGAATTGGTTTTGGAGAGGGATAAAATGAGATCTACTGCTGTGAGTCCTGAGATTACAAGAAAGAGATGTGTACATGCATCTTGTGTAAGGGATACACATCAGCCTAATGACCATTACAGACTAAAATAGATAAAATGGCATTGAGAATGGAAAAACCCCCTCCCAGAGTGGTTGAAGGGGTTGGACAGGAGCCTGAGGAGAACATCCTGGAGGAAAGGAACCTATCACATCTTCTTCCTCCCAGTGTGCCTCTTCTTTACACCTACAACCAGAGAACGTGGTGCAAGCACAGGGGCCAGAAAACATGACACTTATGGTTGGTTTGCACAGCACTCATTAAAACCGAAGGAGCTGTAAAACATTGCATGTCCCAGCGAGGCTCCTTTCTGCAACTGAACCCTGCAGATCACATGCATCCTACCACTGGAGCTAAAAAATCATAAGGAGGGCTGGCTGCCATGCATTTCTGTCTCATGTTCACACAGGAAAGGAGAGCTGACACATCCAAGCACGAGGCCCTGCAGGATGCAAGCTCAGCTTCCAGGCACATACTTTTCTTCTGAAGTCACAAAATAAAGATCCAGAGACAATCTGCAAGCTCATCTGCTGAGACAAGTTTCAGGGGGCAAGTCGTTTTTTAGGAAATGTTTTCTTCAGCTGCGACGATTTACTTGAACAAACAGATCCCTCTGTGATAACTGACTCACTATAGCCACATGACAAAGTGACTAATATAGAAGTTTATAATTAATACATGAATGCACTAGATAGCAGGTGGCTATGCAGTTACTGCCGGAGGCTTTTGAAAACCTTTGATGCTTCTAAATCGTCTAGTGAGTTATTTAAAATCTAAACACCCCGAATCACAAGCTGTAATTTAGAACATCAGCTGCATCCCTAACAGGATATTAGATCTGTCCTCATAAAATTGTCTTACATAAAGTAATAATCTTAATTTTAAGTTGAATTTTATGCATGTTTTCAATCATTGTAAATTAGATGCTGCTTCACATTGGTATTTATTATGAAGGTGTTATTCATGCTAAAAAACACCTGATTATATTGAGTTTTTAGGTGACAGAAAATGTTACATTTTAATTTGTCCAAATTTTGGATTATAGAGACTCCCAATGGTATAGGAGTATACGTTTTTGGCTGCCGAACGAGAGACCAGGCACAAATCCTGGTTGTGACAGAAGGGCATCTGATGCAAAAATTTGCCAAGTTTGAGGGCCAACTAATAAGGGAGCAGTCGAAAGGCCAAGCAAAACATACTTTCAATCATATGCATATTTGTATTATTTTTATCTATTTTTTTCTTCTTTTTTTTGCTTAATACTGCAGTGAAAATTTTTCTTGTTTTAATCAACTCAACCCTTGTATTTTTGCTAGATGCCAGAAAGCCCAGGAGACATTTGCAAATATAATTTCAAGATTTTTAGAAACCAACACTAAGACGTTACAGCTCTGTAAACTTCTATTATTCCAACTCATTTTAACAAACTCAAGGTTCTACTGTGGATATATTTAAAGGCACACCTCAAACATGTGGTTTCCTTATGTGACATCATGGTAAAATGAAAAGAAATCTTAGAAGATGTCACAGAGAGAATTGTGTACCACCAAAAGTTTTTAGATTTAAAAGTGCTACGTTACAGTTTTATGCATTATAAACACCAGGGCAATGCTGCACTGTCTCACTGCTTAGGCAGGCTCTGCATGAATGTGTTTTAGTGGTAAATGTAAGCATCGGTGTTGAGGTCTGGGAGATTCCTCCTTCATGTTTCAGCTTCTCTTCCAGAGGTCCTCCTCAAGTACTTCCCCTTGAGTGGCAGGTTGATTGGTTTCACCTGTTCCCCATCAAGCAGTGGACTACTTAAGGAGGCTGCTGCCAGCTCTCCAGTGCCAAAGTGTTAAACTTTGTGGCTAAGTCCTTGGGTTCCTGAGCTCGCTTCCCTCTTTAACCGGTTCTCTCTTAAGACTAATGTTCCTGAGGTTCAGGCTCCTGAGAAACCCCCTGAGTTCTTCAGACATCTACAAAGCTCAAGGGAAAGCCTTTGGTCCTTTTCTCAGCTGGCAGCCCAGAGCAGCTTCAAAGTAACTGCTCCTTTTACCCCAATTTGCTCTTCTCTGTGCTCACCTGGATTTCTTCGCTTCCACGACAAACACCCTCAGCACCAATACTCACAGAATTTCCTGGACCCAACCTACCATCCCATCGGCAAATAAACCCCCCTAAATCCAGTAAGCTCTATCTAAAATTCTGATTTCCCTCTATTCAGTTCAATACATCTACTGTAACTTTCACGTCCATTTTTCAGACACCCCTGCCATTACTTTTCCTGGTTCCCAGAAGTCAATATGCACAGTCTCAGAGTGTTCTGTATATAAGTAAAATAACTTCAGAAAATCATGACAATCGATCCAAAAAATTTATTCTGGCAGAACAATCTTTCTCTTAAAACCACGGCAATCCTTTTTATCCACTATGAAATAGGTCCTGTATCAATATGGGCTGAAAGGCCACTCAGGGTGGAAGAGGAAACAACTAGTAAAAGCAGCGGACAAGAGACAGTTTGCAGTTTTTCAATAAACTCATGGACAACTACCTTAATTTTTGTGCCCATGATGAAATAAAATTTAAACTGAAATGTTTAGCCATTATATCCATATACTGAAAAAGAAAAATTTATTTTATGCAGCTCAAAGACATCAAAATCTACTTACAAGTAATGCAAAAATTAATTAAAAGCAAGAAATATAAAGCTTAAGCATAAAAAAAAATGCACTGCTTCTTTTCTCTGTCTAAATACGGAGGGGTGGAAATTAAAATCCTCTTACTTTAAGGTTCAATTATAATTCCTAATTTAACTATTAATTGATCTAGTCATTTTAGCTTATTCCTAACAAAATGTATTATGTAAATAAAATATTGTGTAAATATCTAAAAATGACTTGAGTAAAGTTTCATGATATCTACAATGAGGAAATAATCAGTTAAGCTTAGATCAGCTGTATCCTGATATAATAGCACATTTACTTGGTGATTTTTTTTATGGATTAGTGAAAACAAATGTTGGAAAAGTCTTGTAAGCCACTTTCAACGTAAATAAAAAATACTAAGAAAAGTTAAAGTTAAAGTTAGCCTCCACTTTCGTGGACCCTGTGGTCCTCAGGTCTTTACCTGTTCTTTATCAGTTGTCTTCAGCATGATGTGGCAGCAGCTCTGTTACCGTTCTGTCTCCCATCAAACTCTGCAGACAGGCTCACCACCACCAACACTGATATACTACACATTAACACTGGAACGCTAATTCATCAACATCATCAAACAGCTGCTGGCACCAGGCGCCATGAAACCAGGGACAGTCACAACAGGAACCTGGGAACAGCTATCAGAACAAGAACTGCTAGCTATAGATTGTACGTCCCTTTACCTGCAGCAATGAAGAACAGGAAAATTGTCTTGTAATAGTTTTGGTTATTACTGGGGAAGCACTATATAGTGAAACGTTGTTCCCGGCTTTGAATCTCAACAGAATAGGTTTGTTCTCTCAAAGGTTTCTATGCAGATGTTCTTCCAGAATCCAACAAAGGTATACTATGTTTCACTGGTTGAGGGTTGATTAATCTTTTACCAATTCATAATTCATTTTTGTATTATATGGTATTAGGTTGTCATTTCTCACATCTGAAAATAAATGAGTTTGTACCTAAATCATTTCCAATCAATGTATCACACTTGGTAATTAGACCTGTGGATAAATAATGGGAATAAGATGATTTTATCAAGATATATATCAAACCATGAGTGTGCTCAGTACCGTCAAAAATATTTATTGACTACTACTTGCTTTTAAGTATTATTTTTTCGCTTAAGAACGCTAAATTTGTTTAAAGAATTAAGATGGATACGAAACATCATTCAAATGGTGGTATAGTCTTTACCGCCTGGCAGGATCTAGCAGGGTAAACCATAATAAGAGCAGCGTATCAGCCATTCACTACTCACTCACACGTAAGGAGAATTTAGAGAAACCAATTAATCTAACAGTCATGTTTTTGGTCTGGGGGAGAAGATGGAGTACCCGGAGAGAACCCACGCATGCAAAGAGAGAACATGCAAACTCCCTACAGAAAGACCGGGGGCCAGGAATTGAACCCGAAACCTTCTTGCTCCAAAGCAGCAATGCTACCCACTGTGGCACTGTGCACCACACGCATTTATGTGTTTAAAAAAGACTCAGCTTTGCTGAACCACTTGAATGGTTGGAACATCCTACTAACCAACATGAAATACTGTAACTACCGCAAGGTTGAAAAAAATGAAAATAAAAAGAAAACTCCTCTGTTGTTAAATTTACCAAGCCATTTTTATAGCTATTCCGCCTACCACTGTGAAGGTTAGCATCAGTGTGAATCCAAAAATGGAAATTTTGTGTAATTGAAAATTAAGGCTCACTACTGAAGTACAATAAGCTTCAGTAGTGGTTTGAGTTTAGGGGGTTTCCAAAAAAAGTCTATTCTTCTCAAAGAAAGTCAATTTGTCAAACTAGGGTTAGACCAGAGGTGGATCTATATCCAAGATAGAAGGAACCAATGGCAATGCCTAGATAATTGGGTTAGGAATTGACCAAAAGGTTAAAGGACACAGAGCCCTTGACAAGCTCTTACATGATTTTAGTAACAGACCTCTATGATGGTCAACAAAAAAACAAATGAACTGCATAAGCGTTTTACTTTAGCAACCATTACTTGAGTGCTGAAGCTAAAATATGTGGGACCAACAGTGCTAGATTGAATAAACAGTATGTAAAGTAAAATCTGACGCTTGAAAAAAGTCTCCAGGCAACTTAAAACATATTATTTGCTGTTATCTGCAACGCAGCTCATTTT